CCCTTCACCTCTCCTCTTAGGACATACCTCTTAGCTCTGGGACTAGTCTTGTTGCAAACCTTTGCACTTTCTCTAGTTTCTTTACATGCTTGGCTAGATGTGGGTTCCAAACTGGTGCCGCATACTCCAATATGGGCCTAACGTACACAGTGTACAGGGTCCTGAACGATTCCTTATTAAGATGTCGGAATGCTGTTCTGAGGTTTGCTAGGCGCCCATATGCTGCAGCAGTTATTTGGTTGATGTGCGCTTCAGGAGATGTGCCTGGTGTTATACTCACCCCAAGATCTTTTTCGTTGAGTGAGGTTTGTAGTCTCTGGCCCCCTAGACTGTGTACTCACCTAATTGTGGTTGCAGGGGTCGAGACTCAGCTCCTGGCCCCGCCTCTTCACTGATCGCTACTAGGTCCTCTGCCTCTCTGCTTCCTGAGCTTTGTCATACCTCTTCTTAAAACTATGTATGGTTCCTGCCTCCACTACTTCACTTGCTAGGCTATTCCACTTCCTGACGACTCTATGACTGAATAAATACTTCGTAACGTGTGTGTGTGTGTACTCACCTAGTTGAGGTTGCAGGGGTCGAGTCCTAGCTCCTGGCCCCGCCTCTTCATTGGTCGCTACTAAGTCACTACTAGTGACCTACTAGTGTGTGTGTGTGTGTGTATGTGTGTGTGTGTGTGTGTGTGTGTGTGTGCGTGTGTGTGTGCGTGTGTGTGTGCGTGTGTGTGTGTGTGTGTGGTGCCGAATAAGTAAAACTTGCTATTTTGGGTTAAATATCAATGCTTTTCTTGCCGGATAAGGCAAGCGAAAATTTGTGTATGCAATAATTTCGCAAAAATCATTGTGAACCTAACGAAAAAAATATTTCATTGTGTTTGATTATTATTAAATTATTGTAAATTTATATAAAATATATTTAGTTGGTTTAGGCTAAATTAAATTGCGCTTGTTATAATAAGATTAGGTAAGTTTCTTAAGGTTCTTTTGGTACAAAATCATTAACTTTTATATTAACATAAATTAATTAGAAACTTTCTAAACATGAACTGAAACCACTGCAGAAGTGACCAAGCTAGGCTGTGAACCCGCCTGATCAGATTAGAGCACTAATGGTACGACCATTGTTCAGTCAAGCAACGGTGGGCGACCAGATACATTGTCATACGCTGGTTGCTACTGCTGGATCTATAGACTTCTGGTTTTAGTGCTTTTTGAATTATAATAATATAGACTTCTGGTAACATTTCCCGCAAGAGCAGCTGTGCAAGATGGCCTCCCAGTGTCACCAGAGTCATCTAGAATCTCCGAAGTTAAATCAGTACCTGCAGCACTGCTTCCGAAAGCCTTTTATTATTACAATCAGAACTTAGCGCTAAACCCCACAAGGGTCATAATGTTGTTACGAAAGTCTACGAGCTCTATTTTATAAGGCAAAATGTTCTCACTACTTCATATTCAATGGATTACTTCACCTCATGGAGGGATCGGGGTGTGGTCTAAATTCAAAGCAGGCATACAGCACTGGAGATTAGGATTATTATGGGGAAGCGCTAAACCCGTAGGATTATACAGCGCCTGTGGGGGATGGAAGGCATTCAGGGTTAATTCAGGGAACTGGAGCACAGATCCAATTCCCTAGATCAAGAGCCCCTCACCAGTGTCAATTATTATTATAATCAAAAAGAAGCGCAAAGCCACAAGAGCTATACAGTCACCAGCATCAAGGAACCTCCCTTGGGGGGCTGGATGAGATTCGGCGAAGCGCAAACCCGTGATATCAGCGAAGGGAGGGTAGCTCCAATCTGTACAAAAGCTTCACTTCATGGGCTGAATGTCCAAGTCGACAAAACCACTAGACCTGTCTACTATGTGCGGTATTTGGGCATTGTTCCAGTCCGATGTTGTGCCTTTTTGTCTTTAAAGGCTTCCCTGATGGGCGAAGCTATGTGTAAGGATAGGTAACACATTAACACCAAATCTGAACTATCAAGCTTCTATCAAATGATTCTCCCTTGGGGTAAGGGTGGCAAATGTTCACTCACTTTGGCATTTTTTCTGTTTGTGTAGGCCAGTTTGGACCCTTCCATGTTGCTGCTAAGTATAGTTATTATAGAATAAGGGGAACGCTAAACGGAGATTATACAGCGCTGGGGGAGGGGATTCTGAAGCATTGCTAGCTGCCTTCATGTATTTCACTAATGGAAACTTTTCAGACTTATGGGGAGCGAAACGTGGGATTATACAGCACCTGATTATTATTATTATAATAGGGGAATGGCAAACCGGAGGATTTACGCGCCTGGTGGGGCAGTGAGGCATTCAGGTTAATTCGGAACTGGAGAAATCAATTCTCTAAATTCAAGGGCCTCCACATAAGAACCTTCCTGAGGGGATACAGCGCCTGAGGGGAGGGGATTATTATAAAAAAGAAGTGCTAATGAGGGGAGGGGAGATGGAAGGTATTCAGATACAATTCAGTAGATGAAGAACCCCTCACCAACATCAAGGAACCTCTGTTGAGGGCCTCACAAGACATTTGATCTCAATTGTTTTTAATTAGGGAATCACTAAATCCATATGGGTCGTACAGCTAGAAATTATATAACCCCTGGGGAATAGTAAGCATTAAAGTTTGACCCAAGGAAGTGAAATGCCTTGGATCAAGAGCCCATTACAGTCATCACGGCACCTCCCCTTAGGAGTGGAGCGTAAGTAGTCTTGGAACGAGGCATCTTCCTTGAGGGATTGAATAGCTTATACAATACCTCCCCAACGCTCTATACCTCTTACAAATCTAGCATTATTAACCTTGCTCAACCTTGCAAATAATTCTATTGCTAACACAGGAGAACTTTTTTAACCACTTAATTCATTAACACATCTTGTGGTTTATTAAATTTTTCACTTCATCTTTTAGTCATCATTGATACTCTGACACCCAATGAGGCTTAATATATTACTGGAGTATAATCAAGTTCAAGTGCACTAAACCTGGAGGATTGGGAGGAAAGTAGGTTTGATCCAAGGAAAGGAACAGGTCCAATTTCTTAGATTAAGAACCCTCTGAAGAATGAATGGAGCCCCCTCACCTGCATTGAGGCATCTTCCTTGAGAGGTAGGCTTGATATTATAATCATGGGGGAGTGCTAAACCCATAGGGATTATACAGCAACTGTGGGGAGGGGGAAGAACTCCAGGGAACTGGAGCCCCTCACCAGCATCAAGGAACCTTCACTGAAGGGGGTAGGCTTGATATGAGAAGCAATACACCAAGAAATTTAAAATAAAAACCCATGAAGGCCAGTTTTGTTTGAACAAATCCAGCATTTTCATTATATTTATAGGAGAGTATCATACCCATAGGGGTCACAGAGCACCTGGGGAAATGTTAGACAATTGGGTTTGATCCAAGTGAAGGAAAATTCCAATTTCTTGAATCAAGAATTCTTTGCCAGGATCATGGAACCTTCCTTGAGGAGAAAAAACAAGCATAGCAGATATTCAAAAAATTCTGAATGCTTGAAGGCATGCCCAAAGCTAACTTGTGTATTAATCAATATTCAAGAGTATACTTTTGCATTGTTAAGCTTCATGACAGCTCTCTGGAGACATCATTAATAGTTAACATAAATGTTTTGACACAAGTTGTAATCATAAAATTTATTAAAACTTTTTAGTCTATTAATACTCAATTAAGTCTAACTTAAAATTGCCCCAGTGTAAATTACAGAATGCACACATTTCAACCTACTTCGTTTGTGTTACTGTCAAGAATTAAACAGTTGTATATTAATTTTATCCTGTATATTTCTTAGAAAGCTTTCAAACTTACAAATAACTAACCTGTAGAGTCATTCAGCACTTTTGACATGTCAGAATTTAATTTTATCTTAATTACAATAGCGGAATATTTTCAAGGCAATTTGTTTCAATGTACATGGGTGTAGCATGGATGTGGAGAATGAATGGAATATGAATTATGAAAAGAAGCTAGATGTCCAGCTCTAAGCAAAAATTAAGAGGTAGAAGCTCAGTGGGGAGGGGAGATGTATATGGGATTAGGCCAGGCATATCAGAATAGCAGCAATAATATTAAATTATGGAAAGAAAATGAGTACAAGTGTACAAATCCAAGAATTATGTGGATTAAAATAAGGGTGGGATATAAAAAAATGAAGATATTTTGCAATATTAAGTGAGCATTTAGGCGAGTTTTTATTTAGAGAAGGCATACAATAAGGTGGACAAGAGAGCAATGTGGTGGATATTGCAATGGAATAGGTGTAAAAGAGCTTTAATGTGGATGGAAGGTGATTTGCAGGTTAGGGTACATAAGAGAGGGGATGGTTATTTTCCAGTAAAAGGCCTTAGTCAAGGATGTGTGATGTCACCATGGATTTCTAACATTTATGAGGTTGTTAAATTAATGGAGAATTATTATAATCAAAACTTAGCGCTAATCCCACAAGTATCGTACAGCAAATTAATGGATAAAAATAGGATTAGGAAGGCATTCAGATCTTAGGTAGAGGGATAAAGGGGTAAGGTTTGTCCAAGGAAAGGTTGGAGGGACAGGGGTAAAGGTTTTCAGTGTCAGGGGATTGGACATCCAGCAGGCTTGTGTGAACATGTTTGACAGAATTGAGTGGAGGAAAGTGGTTATATTATTTGATGTGCTGTGGGAATGTGAGCAAGGTAATTTACTAAGGGGTTCAAGGAAACCTATTAGCCAGACTAGTCCTGAGGTGGCAAATACAGTGCCTGCACTGAAGGAAGGGGTGAAGATATTGCAGATTGGAGGGTCATGAGAACTGTTATGTTGGCACCCTAGTGGTAAGACAGTGATTGGGTTATTGCAACCTCAATGGAAGAGGGCCAGAGAGTTCTAAGAAAATAAATGCTGCTTCGAGTAAAAGGGCATTTCCTTTACTAGTTATTAAAAATAATCATCACTTTAAATGTATATTACCAATGGAGGAAACTTAAGCAGAAACAATCAAGGGTCTTTACACAGTTTACTGTGAAACATTCATTCATTTACAAGGTTCAGATTTGATCAATAGAAAAGAGATGGAATGGACATCTACCTTTCAATGTTTGTCCATGTAATGTTTACACAGCCCTACTATGGGATTATTCAATAAAATTACCTTTAGCAATTTTAAAATGACACTAAGCCACAGAAGTGAATATAATTAGTGGATAATTAATCATACACTTCTAAAGAGCATTTAAGTTGGTCTACTCCAGGTAAATAGCTGTACTACACATTAGGGCAGTGTATACATTAGTTGGACAAGGAACGCCCAAAAAATAATGTAAATAATAGATAGAACCACTGTCTTGAAGCTTGTAAACATTTCCTCTCATAGTACAAATCAGATGTGCTGTGTATATCCTAACATGCTTGTGGGAAAAGGCCTAGCTATAACAGAATGGGTAGAAGTGTTGCCTAAATGCAAGTCAATTAGAAACTTCCACTGGTACAGCAGCGCAATTCCTAATAAAGCTTCACTGATCCCAGTCCTAATTGGTAAATCTTTTAGATACCAGAATATAACATTATGAAAACTTACAAAAGTTTTAACTCGCCCAATATATATATAATCAATAACATTCAATAAAATATATGAGCGCTGTGGAAGTTGGTCAATAGCATCACACAAGTATTCAGACAAATTAGGTACAAACTCAATCACCCTAGTGCCTACCATAAATAAAATGAATTAATTTCAGCACAAATATCAACCTTGCTATCCACCCGCTTCCACTAGTGAACTATTGGTAATATTAGAATGAGTTTTGGTGTCTGCACATCAGTTACAAGACAAATTTAATACCTGCTTCTGTTCTAAGGACACAACTCATATGTACAGAAATAGTAGTCTTCAAATTATAGTAGAGAAGCAGAAGAGTCCTTGTTAACAACAGACTGCCATTCCTGTTGTCAGTTTATTCAGGAGATTAACAGATCACAGATTTTTAGCTTCACATCTTGCACACAATTTAAGAGGCAAGTATGGCAAAATGTTACAAGCCACCTTACCCAGTTTAGGGTGAAAAGTAAGAACTTTGTCCCCAGTTTATCAAATTGCTCTAGATGTAGCTTTTGAGCAAAGAAATAAAATGAAAACTCTCCCATTAATAATTTGTCAAGTCTTTTAATCACCCAGGTGATGCCCGGATTCCAGCTTCTCATCGGCACCATGCAGTGATCTAGACACCAGGCAAATAAAATCCAGGGCACCAAAACAGTGCTTTGAAAACAAACATCAACCAGCTCTAGGTCTGAGCAACACTGATGGTTAAAAAGTTGCTGCAAGAATCCCACTGGTGTCCCAGTGTCCTGGATTTGCCATGTTTTGATGTAAGCCTGTAAGAAAATAATGAATATAAGCCTGGTGTGGAAAATGCATTAAAGAAATTTCAATATACAGGCAAGACTATTTATAAAAAGATTAAGCTTACAATAATGTGCCTATAATTACCATGTAGTTAGGTCAGCTAGTTCAGTAATTAAGGACTACAATAAGGGATGTGCCATGTTCAATATTGTAAAAATGAATTATGCAAGAAATCTTTGGGTTTTACAAAAATACAAAATGTGAAAATAGGGCATTCAGGGTGACCCAAAGAAAACACATTAACTCAATTGCTGTCTTTCCAGAAGTGTGCTGACATCACAATGAGATTATTCCTCCAACTGCAACATCCCTCCTCCAGAGTGCAAGTACTGCCTGTCCCACGGCCAGGACTCACATCTGGCTAATGGGTTTTCTCGTCAATCCTTTTATAAATTTTACACTGCTTAAACTCCAATAATACATCCATTAAAAACCATTCAATGTTACCTTACTATCACTTCAACACACCAACTTTTGAAAAACATCCTTTTCTCATTCTAATCCAACATACTCACACCTACTGGTTGTCTTCAATCCCCTCTCTCCAACTTTTCCTACACCTCTCACCTAGATTTATACAACCTGTCATTCTATTCTGCTGTATACTTTTTAAATGACTAAACTACCTCAACAACACTTTTGGTCTTTGTAACCCCACACTATTTTTAACTTTTACACGGAGTTCTCTGCATAACATTCACACGAGACTTCCTACAAGTGGGAAATGCAGTGCTCGCTCTACGAAAATTGGAGGTGATGTTGCAGGTTAGAGGGCCATTTGAATGATGTCCACTCACTTCTGGTAAGACAGCTTTTTGAATCAATCTACCTTGAAAAATGACCAGTGGGGTAAAAAAACTTATCTGCCACCATTCCACCCTCTCCTTCCCAATGTCTTACCCACTCATTACACCTATTTGCAAGGCACAGTTGTCTGCATTTGCAAGAAATTAATTGGCTCAAAAATGCCCCATTTCTAAGTGAAGATTTAAGTAATCTAGTCCTACTCTAATGAAGATTATCCTGAAAACTGGCATGCAAAGTAAGACTGTACCACAACTATTACCACTGGGGAAGGGAAAAAGTTACAAGAACTTCATTACCCCCCACCCATCCTCCCAAAAGTACAATAGTGTTAAACTTTTCTAGTTCCTAAGTAGTTCAGCACTCGGGTATGTTTACCGAGGAAAGAACAACATGGTGACTAAAATAATAGTATATTTGAAATAAAATCTATGGGACATTATGGCAAGCTTGTTAAATTTTCTGTGGGAGGGTAGGCAAGGTTTTATCTAGGAGAGGGACTGGCAGAAAATGGTTAGATTAATTTGAGTTCTGGAGGCCAGAAACTTCATTGATGCACTGAAAGCGACTGGCTGAACAACAGTGGACCATGTCCATGACCTTTAAGAACAGCAGCTAGTGTTTTTTTTTTTCATTTATCTTGCCTTAAATGGAATGAGGAAAGCATATCATTAAAAATTATTTTTATAATAACTTACCTAGAACGGTGTTCAACAGCACCCACCACCTGCTGCTGCCTCCACTGGAGCACTGGGATTAATTTTAACTCCTTGTGCAGCCCCAGCAGTTCCAGAAGGAGGTCCCATTCGGTTTTTAATCTCAGCAGCCATGGTCATGAAAGCCTGTTCAACATTAGTCGCATTCTTGGCAGAAGTTTCAAGAAAGGGGATTCCTAAAGAATCTGCATATTCCTGCAAAAAAAAAAAAAATTTTTTTTACAAACATACGAATCAAAAATATCAAGAACTGGCTAGGCTCACAGATTAATCTACTTTAAAAGATGGAATACAAAACAGCAAATCACCATATTTACTTTTTAGTACTTGAGCCATGTGAATGAACAATGGCATAAGCCAACAGGTAGTGAGAAACGAGTGAAATCTTTATTGCAGTTTTGCTCAGGACTGGACTGTCAAGTACTCAATAAAACTGCAATCCTTGAAGAATCATAATGGTTTCACTGCAAAAATGGTGTCTTACTAATTCTTCCAAAGAAATAAAATGGGGTACCAGGTACCCCATTTGCTGCTATAATGCAATGGGGTCAAGGTACCCCACTGCATTATAGCTGCAAATCAAGGTTTAAGACATCTAAATTCTTTATCAATTTTATAAAACTATAGCAAGAATTTAAAATACATAATGAAAATCTAATTCAGTGGTAAAAACCACATGTAATTAAATACAGTGGACCCCTGCATACCGTTGGCATCACATAACGTTAAATCCGCATACCGATACATTTTATCGCTAAGATTTTGCCTCGCATACCGCTAAAAAACCCGCTCAACGTTATTCGTCCGAGACGAGTCTAATGTGCGGCCTGAGCCAGCCTCACATGTTCCGCCGGTGGCATTGTTCACAAGCCAGCCTCCGCGGTAACATCCAAGCATACAATCAGAACATTTCGTATTGTTACAGTGTTTTTGGTGATTTTATCTGCAAAATAAGTGACCATGGGCCCTAAGAAAGCTTCTAGTGCCAACCCTGTGGTAAAAAGGGTGAGAAATATTATCGAAATACTGTGGTACCATGGTCAACTGCTGCTGCTGCTGCCGTAGCACCGTCAGCTGCTGCTGCTGCTGCCGTAGCACCGTCAGCTGCTGCTGCTGCTGCCGTAGCACCGTCAGCTGCTGCTGCTGCTGCCGTAGCACCGTCAGCTGCTGCTGCCGTAGCACCGTCAGCTGCTGCTGCTGCCGTAGCACCGTCAGCTGCTGCTGTACCACCGTCGGCTGCTGCTGCTGCTGTAGCACCGTCTGCTGCTGCTGTAGCACCGTCTGCTGCTGCTGTAGCACTGTCAGCTGCTGCTGCTGCTATAGCACTGTCAGCTGCTGCTGCTGTAGCACCGTTGTTGGTGTGGCTTATTGAGAATACCAAGAAACAATTAACCCCAGAGGGTTAGCCACCCAGGATAACCCAAAAAAGTCAGTGTCATCGAAGACTAACTTATTTCCATTGGGGTCCTTAATCTTGTCTCCCAGGATGCAACCCACACCAGTCGACTAACACCCAGGTGAACAGGGAAAAATGCCTGGAACTAGTGCTCATATTGGTGAATTTAAAGCCAGCAAAGGTTGGTTTGAGAGATTTAAGGATCATAGTGGCATACACACTGTGATAAGGCCTGTTCTGGAAGAAAATGCCAAACAGGACCTACAGTACTCAGGAGGAAAAGGCACTCCCAGGACACAGTGTCTCATCAGTCATTGCTGCATCTTCAATAAAGGTAAGTGTCATTTATTCTTCATTTAGTATAGTAGTACACGCACAATATATATTGTGCATGTACTACTCTACTATTGTGCATGTATCCTTCTCTGTGTGTAGGAAAATGTGTATTTCATGTGGTAAAATTTTTTTTTTCATACTTTTGGGTGTCTTGCACGGATTAATTTGATTTCCATTATTTCTTATGGGGAAAATTCATTCGCATAACGATAATTTCGCATAACAATGAGCTCTCAGTAACGGATTAATATCGTTATGCGGGGGTCCACTGTAGTTATAAACCTGAAAACAACTTCATTCCTCTCATCCCATTTACAAAAAATTATTTCACAGCAAAGTATTTTAAATATAAGAGTAAGGAATGTATTGTTTTACAAGGACGACCAACTTAGCATATGGAAGATAAACAACAAACAGAACTAAACCATATGCAATAGCAGTACTCTAAGTAACTGACGCATGTCGACTAATAAGCAGGACAACTTTCAACCCCTGCACGAATCCTTATAAATTAAATTACATTATTTTTCATTACTCTACCCAAATACTACATCACTGCATTTTATTAAGTTTTAAAACTTAGTAATGTAATAATTTTAACAAAATTAAAAAATATTAATGTACAACTGTAGTATAAAGTACATACATACAAGAAATAATGCTGTCAATTACACCTTAATATAAGAAATATTGAAAGCTGTCATTATAAAAGATACAAAAGTGAAATTAGGAAAGTTTTAAATACTGGCCAGAACCACAAATATCAAAAGCCATCGGTTATCTTGGCATTTCTCATTTTAATACTCTAAGAAACTTTATTTAAAAAAGTGGCATCAAGAATTAAATACTATAAACTTTGTTACCTTGGCTGTCTGAAAATCAACTACTTTCTTGTGGGTGAGATCACATTTGTTGCCCACCAAGAGTTTGTTGACATTTTCACAAGCATATCTATCTATCTCTTGAAGCCATTGCTTAACATTATTAAAGGATTCCTGTAAAAAAAAAAAAAAAAAAAAAAAAATGAAAGAAAAAAAAATTGAAGGTTAGTTGGTCAACTCTTTCTCTTCCTCATATCCATACAATACAGCAAGTCAATCTGGATACATAAAATATGATTTTAAACATTGCTGATTACAAATTTAGTAGAAAACTTATTTGCAAAGCTAAATCATATTAAAAACTGATGGGCTGTACAAATATCAACAACATTACATGATGTACAAACTTATTGTAAACGAGTTTTGTTACAACCAAAATGTCATTAACAGGAATCTACAGTGCATAATTCAAAAGTTTGATACTTGAAAATCAAGCTGTTAATGAAGTGTTACTGTATACTCAAAAATTTAAATGCATTTGTTTTAAACTCAAGTTACTGACAAAGAAATAAAAAAAATTAAATTACTAAAAGCAACAAGTTTACATGGCTAATGAGGTAGTTATAAACTGAAAGATGTTGGTATATAAGAAAAAGATATCCAAAATTAGTGCTAACTTTAATGTGATTATGGAGGAAATTAAAATAAATGGACTTAGTTTTTTTTATACAGTAATGCTTCGTGAATGAAACTGGAAGGAAAAAAGTAGATTTAAAGAGTGCTTTGATCTACAAGATCACTAAACACTAAGCAGAAAAAAATGACTATTGCACCCATTTAATCCCTTCAGTGGCCATCATGTATAACCAAGTCAGTAAGGCCACAGTCCCACGTGTAGTTTACGGAGCTGTGAGCAGTAAATTTAGGCCTAAATATGCGAGAACGGGAAAATCAAAACTGACCATGTATATGATTTAAAATTGTGATTGAGACGTTTACTGATAGCTTTTATGTTTTTTAACTGTTTCTTGGTATCATTCGATAGAATGCAAGACAAACTACTGAAATAGAGATGATTCCGAGTGATTTCTGGAATAAAAGTAGCTTGAAATTGAGCTCAATAGAAATACAGTGGACCCCCGGTTAACGATATTTTTTCATTATAGAAGTATGTTCAGGTGCCAGTACTGACCGAATTTGTTCCCATAAGGAATATTGTGAAGTAAATTAGTCCATTTCAGAACCCCAAACATACACGTACAAACGCACATACATAAATACACTTACATAACTGGTCGCGTTGGGAGGCGATCGTTAAGCGGGGGTCCACTGTATTCAATTTTTGCTGACTTTCCCAGAGGACAGATAAGGTTCCCCTTTACACCCCACCCTTCTGTTTTATGGGTTTTTAATAGGTCTGATTTAATTACTGGGACAGTCAACTAGGACCAATCATTCCTGGTTATATTTTACTAACCGAGAAAGAGTAAATTATTCTATTTTGCAATTAAGAATTCAAAGTGGAAGGCAAATGGAATACAGGAGAGGCCTGGAGATGTGACTAATCTACAGGAAATGTTTTAGTGCCAGGAATGTCTAGTGTTTGTGTATTTTTTTAATTCTGTGTAAAATTGCCCAAGTTACTGACTTCCATGCACTTTATATGGTAGTTGAAATAGTCTAATGGGCAGTTTCTTGTGCTCAATCAACAGAATGGAAGGCATACTAGTGATAAAACTAAGAATTTTGTTCAATGGAGCAATGGAATTGGCATTGGCTTAAAACAGAACTCAAAGCGGGTGAAATTACAGATATGCAAATTGCAAATATCTTCAGAAAAAAAATTCCCTACCATTTCAGAAAGAAAAAAAAAAAAAAAAAAAAAAAAAAAAAAAAAAAAAAAAAAAAAAAAAAAAAGGTTGACACAACCATATTAATTTGGGGGAAATCTGGACAGTAATAGGGTTAGACATTATGTTCCTTCCTCCAATCATCTGTGGTCCAACCTTTTTATTTGTCATTGTAGAATCTACCAGAAAGACCATTCATTACTTCTGAAGTTAAAATTAGAGGAGAAAAATTTTGTGAAATCTTCCAAGCCAATGGACTACCATCTATGGTATGTATCATACAGCTGTAGGGCACTTAAAGTAAAAGTTTGAGCACAGTCAATGATGACTAAAATGAGTAAATAATCATTAGGGTGTATAGTGAATTACTGAATATGGCATAACTAAGAGCATGGCTTAAACGTCAAAAGCTTGTATGAAGTGAGCTTGAAGCATCATACACCTTCAATGCTAGTAGAGGCTAGTTGATAGGCTTAAAGAGGCTTAAATTCAATGCACAAGCTCAAAAATCAATGTCAGCAAATTATAAGATGAAGACAGCTAATTTGGGTATTCTTAAGTGATTTTTTGTGATATAAAATATAACACATTCTTCATTTTGTGAAAGATGTCATTATATGAGTGAATCTTTCTTTAATCACTGCAATGGAAACCTTAAAAATGTGCCCAAATTACACAAAGAGCAGTGTGTTCAGCAGGGGGCAGTAGAATTTTTTTTTTTATTCATAGGGAATTGCTAAATCTCTAGGGGTCATACAGTACTTAGGCAACTGGAGGTATCCTGGTTCGATCCAAGGAAAAACTAATAAATATGGTTTGCCACATTACACCACTTAAGATATGGCAGTGTTAAAGTATTTGTTTGGATAAGGTTGTCTGAATAAACAAACTTAAAACTTAATAAACTATATTTTCTTTAGCTATATAACGAGTCAATGGAGAGAAATTTAGTATATTGAGGATAGTAAGATATAAAGCTAACAATCAATTGGAATGCGCACACTATGAAACACAAGCTTACTTGATCTGTGGTATCATAAACAACGATGATGCCATGAGCTCCCCGATAATATGAAGAAGTGATGGTTCGGAAGCGTTCCTGTCCTGCTGTGTCCCAGATCTGAAGTTTGATTGTTTTTCCGTCTAACTCAATGGTACGAATTTTCTGTAAAGCATTAGAAATTCAATGTTTCCAGCACTGCAGCTGCTCATGTAACCAAAAACATATTAGTCAAACTATTTATATAAATACAATAATGAACAACCCATACTTACAAAATCTACACCTATGGTACTGATATAGGATTCTGTATAAGTGTCATCCTGAAAAAGAAAAAAGCAATATAAAAAACATTGGTAAAAAAATGTCAGTCGCATCATACTCTTATGATGCAATGTTAAGTATAGTATATTTACAGGAAAATCAATACAGGGGCAAATAAATAAAAGTAGTACACAAGAAGAATTATGCTGAGTGCACAAAGAAACATTATGCATTTGAATTGCTACAAACTAGCTACAGGCATACCTACCATTAGTTTAAACTTTTTTATGCTCCTGCCCATGGCTAGAATCTCTGGTGATTATCTGAGCCACCTTGATATTGCCACAATCCACAAAAAACAATTTACAACTATGGCAGCCTAAAGGGACACGAGAATTTAGTTCTTAGTAATTACATTAGTAAAAATAAAACTTAAAAGATTAAGGAAAGATGCAGAAAAGTCCATACTTTGAGGAATAAAATAGAAAAACAAGTACTTCCTAAGGACTGTGGACATGCCATGCTTTCGTGAATGTATCCAAGTTTGGATACATTCCTTAGACATTTGGAAAGTCTTGGTCCTCTCATAATTATACTCTTGGGGAAAAGCCAAGGAAAAAAATATACTTAAATTTTGCAAATAACCATTTCCACAATTAGGCACAAAATTAATGAACCAGAAGTAGAGGAAAAGAAAGAGATTATGTTCCTAGATTTGCTATTTGACAAAATTTAATGCTCATTGCCAGCTCATTGAAAACACTAAGTATACTCTAAAATTCACTTATGTACCCAATTCTATACTAATACAATACCTCACCCTAGCAATTCATGCCTTTATTTAAATCCCTAAATATAACAACACTACACTAATGATGATCATGAATTAAGACACTTTCCAGAACAGAACATGCAGGCATCTCATGAAACAAATCCAGTATCTGCAATGTTTGCTTGAGCCTTTATTGCAATGCAATGCAAACAGTGCCACAGATGTGGAGTATTTGCTGTTTCACTGCAGTATAATAAATGAAGATTTTAAAAGTCTGGATTAAAACAAGAGTAGCACTGCAGAAACCAAACTTATGAACTAATGTCCTACTCAATTTACACAGTATACTAGGGTACAACCACAAAAGTCAAGTCAATTTGCAATAAAACAACCATCTAATATTTACACATTTACAAAAATACTCACGGCAAATCTTAAGAGAAGGCAGGACTTTCCAACACCACTGTCACCAATGAGGAGGAGTTTGAACAGATAGTCACTGCAAAAAATAAATCAATATATATCAGTATTAACAAAAACTTTTAATAAACCACATAATTCATTAAGAAATTTTTGCAAATGTAACCAATTATAATTTTCATGTCCATTGAAAATTGAAAAGTTAAGTAGAGGTGGCATATAAAGGAAAAAATGGAAAAAGACTTTTGCGGAACCATCCTGGTTCACATGCACAGCCTCTCCTCACTTAATGACAGAGTTCCGTTCCTAAGACCACGTCAGTAAACTAATTCATCACAAAGTGAGGAGCACACTATAGCTGGTCCAGTGGCTAACGCGACGGTCTGGAGATTTGACTCTCTGATCGTGGGTTCTATCCCCGTCCGTGGTATGGTTTGTTTGCAATTGTGTCATTACGATTTCGTGAGTCGCACTATAATGGTACATGTACTTGGTTTGTGTCAACCATCTTTGATATTGTTTTAATGTCACCTCTGCACCATTTATAACACTTCTGGTATATTTTTACATGTTTATACAGTAGTGTGGTGTATACTGTAATACACAGAATAGAGGAAATCAGCTTTCTTTCTTTCTTTCTTTGTTGGGTTTATCAGGGAGCCTGATTTCTCGATGGTACGAGGAAAAATTGTTGCCCAAGGCTGGGCATTGAGAGAAAAGGAACAAAAGTTCCTTCGTAAACAGAGACAGAAACTAGTTTCCAATTAGATCCGGTGGACCACCTTACCAAGCCTCAGCAGAGGGGGACGCCCACTCTCCCACCTGAGTTCAGTAACTGGCTTCCCACCAAAGACCGATAAAGAATTATCCGCAAAGCGGAAAAAATGGAGCTGGCTAAAAGTAGCCGATGAAGAGGTGTTCCTCCTGTAGAGTGCCTGGCGGGCAAAATAGAGGAGGACAAGCATCCCAGTGAGAACGGGGTAAATTTGTCACTGATACCTGACGAAGGCTGCAGCAGCATCCGAGGAAATCAGCTCTAATATACATTATTTAGGTATGCATACTGGTCAGAGAGCCCGTCGTGAGTCCGAGTCATCGGTAACCAAGTACGTCACTAAGTGAGGAGAGGCTGTATATAACATGCTACACTACTTATCCATACTTCTCACTTCTACTTGAGCATCAAACCCAGGTTTGTTTAGCAAGTCTCCTAACACCTGCTGCTACCATTACCTAGCAATAAATAGCTATCTAGGAGAGGGTAGACATCCTTGGGAATCTAAAAAGCATCCCATTGGAAATGAGCCACAACGATTGGTTTTGTGGGGGGTTATCCTGGGTTACTAACCCTCCAGGTGGGGGGGTTAGTTAAGAATAAGTCTTTTCCTGCCCTCCTAGGGCTGCAAGCCAAATGCATTATAAGACATCCTTAGCGTGTTTTATAACAATGGCCAACCAAAAAGTAAAATTTGAAATATTTCCATTGAAATAGTCCAACAGGATTCAACCCATAGCAACCTGGTACTCATTTACTAAAGTAGCAGCAGCAAAAGCCAGGAAACATGCCCTGCCTGGTTAGCTTCATATCAGTACAAGTTTTTTTTTTTTTCCTTACAAGAATCCTTACCTAACTTAACTGAGGAATTAACTTGTTGACATCTCTCAGACTCCACCCTTGCAGAAACTTTGTATGTGGAAAGGGATACATATACAGTTCAGGTCTGATTTTAGGTTATCCTTCACAACTGACACGTTAAACTACACACAACTGTACTCGTGTATATCTGTACCTAAATAAACCTATTTACTTGTTAACCTATTTCAGCTTATTCTGTATCAAGAATGATGAAGCCACTTGTGGCCAAATGCTTCCCTTAATAAACGTCCTGAACTGTACATACTGTTCTTTTCCACAGTGGATCAGTACCACCATACCATTTACAGGACCCCAATGGAAATAAGTCACTGACTTTTTTGGGTTATCCCAGGTTCTCTACACATATGCTGCTATGTATAATTCTATGTAACTGTATTTGTGTATACCTGAATAAACTTACTTACTTAACCAGAAGCTTATATACTGCTTCATCAGCTGTTTGGTAAATTTAGCAGCTGAGCGAAACTTCGACACCAGCTGCCTCTAACCTCGTGTACTTTCACTAATACAACTTTTATCCTTATTATACTCAGTATTTTCTATTTTGTGCTATGCACTTCAGTGCTCTAATGCGTATTAAACCTTGCCTAAAAGTCAAAAAAATTCTACGAGGAAAACCAGGAAAGAAAGTAGGCAGGAGTGGGCACCCGACCTAACCACTGAGTTTTTAGGGCAAATCTCTTCCATTCCAGGCTTTTCCAACATTACACACTAGTAGCACCATTCTAACAGCATCACAGGGCTGGTATTTGGTTATTTAGGTAGATTCCTTTGTGAAGTTACTACGCAGCTGATCACTCTTGGCTCAGCTCAGCTGACTGTGACAGCAGCTGCACTCCACCTTAATTTGGCATCCAGCGCCACATAGGCTAATATTCTTTATAATCTTTCTCGTAAACACCTCCTGGTAGCATTTTCTCACCTTTGCGATCATCGTCGCAAAGAACAAGGCTTCACAGACATGTTTTGCCCTCCTGTGTGAAACGTCACAAATTATCACCTGATCGAACTGGCAGTGGTAATCGACCTTGCACACCACAACAACTCGCACTTCTCAGCCGCGCCTTCTACTCACTATTCGGGATTCATCGTGGACATCTTCTAACTGCAGACCTTCCTTAGAACTAAGCTCTCTCTCTCTCCAGGGAACAGCAAATAACGCAGATAGAGAAGGAATACAAGGCAGACCCTCCCCTCACTCTCACAAGATGGCCGTCCCGTGGCGTTTTGCACTCCACGATGACGTCATGCCACATAGACACGGTATGACAACCTCCTCCGGTCAACCCCTCGACCACCTGCCTTTTTCATACTTAATAACACAATACCATGCATAACAGTCAATATATATAATTAATAATGTATAAATATAACCAAAAGCAGGTGATATCTTAATATGCGATATAACCGCAGTGAAAGTAGTATTTACATCGAGGGTTTTTGTGATTTCTCACATTATCACGAAACAGCTTGGGAATAATATTATTTTTCACTGTAGTTATATTACATTCACTTAATAAAATATTTTTTTTATGGCTTAAAAATAATTTCACGCCTGAATAATCAAGGGGAGCTTGCAAAATAAAGTGTTTTGGCTGGGGAAATGGGTGGATCCAGACAGGAATACAAATGGAGGAGTGACACCTAAATTCGCGATTGCGTAGGTTTCTCAGTGATTCATCCATAAAATGTGAATCATCGGAGAGTTCTTGTCATGTGACCTCCGCCCCAACGGGAAACAATTTCACATACGAAACATGTGACCAAGACGGTGGCTAGGCATGGTATATGTGTGTGTGTACCTCTGGCCACCAACTATTACGCAATGATGACGTAGACATCGGTACATACTGCCTACTAGTTGGTAACTTAAGTGCAGTATCAGTGCACACTAACTTTATGCTCGATCATGCCACTTTCCAAAGAATTTTGAGCTATGAACAGCGTGAAATAGAGAGAACAATGAAATGGCGGAATTCATTAGATATCCACAAAAGAGGATATTGAAGTGTTTACCTGAATATTTTTTTTGTCCTTCCTCCAACTTCTCAATTTTTTTTTCGTTCATAACTCCAAAACCTCTCATCCTATCGGATTCAAATTTTCAACTTCTTCCGGACAGTGATTTATATTCATCAAGACTGCGGTACTGACCACCTATTTCTTGGCTGAGGAATAATATAATAATAATAATAATAATAATAATAATAATAATAATAATAATAATAATAATAATAATAATAAAATATGTACAAGGTATACAGGTCTAGCTGACATCAATGACATACTACTATATAGAAAGCCGATTGTTATTTTGAGCATTTCGGAAAATTAGGTCAGTTTTGCCCCCAGGATGCGACCCACACCAGTATACTAACACCCAGGTACCTATTGTATACTGATGGGTGAACATGGACAACAGGTGTCTTAAGGAAACACGGCCTCATCTTCTACCTCTTCAGTCTTCTGTACTCACCTATTTGTGGTTGCAGGGGTCGATTCACAGCTCCTGGCCCCGCGTCTTCGCTGGTTGCTACTAGGTCCACTTTCTTCATGCTCCAATTAGACTTGCGACGTCAGACTTGTTACGTTAGACTTGTGATTTTAGACTTGCGACGTTAGACCTGCGACATTAGACTTGCGACGTTAGACCTGCGACATTAGACTTGCGACATTAGACTTGCGACGTTAGACCTGCGACATTAGACTTGCGACGTTAGACTTGCGACTTGCGGTGTTGAACACGAGTCCCGGTTTACGGTTACTTATAGAAACTTCAGTCGTGGTAAAAATAGTTAATAATTTCAGACTTTCCCATGGCTTTTCCCTGGAATTTATTTTATTTAAGGCTATAATTGTTAGTGTTGGAGAAGCAATTTCGTTTCGAGTTTTTCTCGTAAAATTATCCAACAAATTAATATTTCTTCAACCGAAAATATTGAATTTTCTGCAGTCTTGACATACTGAAGAACCATAGACTGTTCCTTGTTAGAACAATATGGAATAACATCAACAATAATCATTTTAAAAATACCTGGCAAATCAAATTTCATCAAGAATGTTGCTTGTACCAATTATCCACATAGTTCCATAATCTCGTTGAATATACGTGTGGAGAGATAATGGACTCGCATACGTATTTTGTCTCAGCAGTGATTCTCGAACACGTTTATTGTGCTCAGATAAAAATGTCATATTTGCTGGGCAGCTCAGTTATGTCAGCAAGTTTATGTTTGTATACCTTTGTAACTTGTCATGACTGTGACCAGATCTACCTGGAGTTCATTACCTTTGTAACTTGTCATGACTGTGACCAGATCTACCTGGAGTTCATTACCTTTGTAACTTGTCATGACTGTGACCAGATCTACCTGGAGTTCATTACCTTTGTAACTTGTCATGACTGTGACCAGATCTACCTGGAGTTCATTACCTCTGTAACTTGTCATGACTGTGACCAGATCTACCTGGAGTTCATTACCTCTGTAACTTGCTCAGCTATCAAAACTTTGGGGCCCAGTCCCTGGGCCCATTATGTACCTCTAATATTTTGACTACCGCCCACAGGATGGGTATGGGGTACAAAATAAAAATATTAAAGATTAAAGAAGGTATGACCAGAAATCGCCGATTATAGCAGCCCTTATTTCAAAGCTCACAACTCTGGCGGCAGGTGAGAGGCCAGATACAAAGCAGGTATTCACCGACCATCAAACTCTCTAAGCACGTTCTCGTCAACCAACAGAAACTCCATCGTCTCCGTAGATGGTATGTAACTCATGGATTCTCGCCAGGAGCTGTGTGATGAGCAGCTAAATACTTACTCCATGCGAGGTTCCACGATGTAACCACATCACTCGTACAGCCGTCCGCCTGACATTTTCTAAGGTGTATATAATACTGACACTAGGCAAATAGCTAGCACATAGGAGAAAGAAACTTATGACGATGTTTGGGTTCGACTTGGACCATTAACTAGTTACCAAGTTGGACCAAAACGTAGTCATAAGAGTCCTCTATGTGCGGGTTATTTGTGTATTGTTCCAGTCACGGTATTGTGCCTTTTTATTCTTTATAATACTGACCTAAACCAGCTCAACATCTCCGCCCAGCGACGACACAAGTTACATACAAAGTGGTCTCCAGGATGTAAGCAGTCATACAGTAGTGTATATACAGTGCTCGTCACGGCATTATGCCGGGTGAGCACCCCGGCATAATGCCGTGACGAACACGATACAAGGGCTACTCAAGAAGTTTTATATAGGAAGGGAGAAGAGAAGGAGCGCTACAAAACTTGTCTTCAGAGTTATTATTATTATTATTATTATTATTATTATTATTATTATTATTATTATTATTGGCTGATGCAATTTGGGGACATTAGCTCCCCATGACCCCGCCACTGTCTATTTGGAACAATCATTACAGTCACGAAAAAAATGCTTAAATTATCTGGGTCACAGTGCATGGGAAAGGGAGGAAATTAGGCTTACCCGGAGTTTACCTGGAGAGGGTTTCAGGGGTCAACGCCCCCACGGCTCGGTCTGAGACCAGGCCTCATGGTGGATCAGAGCCTGATCAACAAGGCTGTTACAGCCGGTCGCTTGATCAGAAAAAGAGAAAGCTCCAGTTACTTGAATCAAGAGCCCTACCCCCCAACAAAGCCCAGCGCTAAGCCCAAGACGACAGACAAAAATTAAACAATGAATGGACATATAATTTAGGAATTCCGTTTATCTTCTATTTGATTTTCAGATTAATTCAGTTTCCAAGAATTTTCTTCTTATGCGAGAAAGTTTTTTTTTTTTTTTTGGCTTTTTGCTTAAATGTGAACTTTGAGAAATTATATTAATTAAAAGATCTTATGAATTAATGTGTACTAATGTTGGTTAATATTTTTCAATGATTCATTGTGTGTTTTTTTAAAGCTAAATATTGAACGAGGCAGAATCGTAGAGACAGAAGTATTTGAGACAGAATAATATATATGATGGGAAGAAAATACTGAGAATAAATTTTTTTTTTGTCGACGGAAGCTAGAGGAAGATAAGAGGAATGGGGGAGGAGGGTGTAGTGGGGGGGATGGTCGAGGAGGGAGAGAGGGAGAGTGAGGGAGAGCGAGGCAGGAAGTGTGGGGGTGAGGGACAGGGGTGTGAGGTGAGGGAGAGCGAGACAGGGAGTGTGAGGGAGGGAGAGCGAGGTAGGGAGTGCGAGGGAGAGCGAGGCAGGGAGTGTGAGGGGGGAGGGAGACGAGACAGGGAGTGTGAGGGAGGGAGAGCGAGGTAGGGAGAGCGAGGCAGGGAGTGTGAGGGGGGAGAGCGGTAGGGAGTGCGAGGGAGAGCGAGGCAGGAGTGTGAGGGGGGAGAGCGAGGTAGGGAGTGTGAGGGAGAGCGAGGCAGGGAGTGTGAGGGAGAGCGAGGACAGGGAGGGTGAGAGGAGGGAGAGCGAGGTAGGGAGTGTGAGGGTGAGGGACAGCGAGACAGGGAGTGTGATGGTGAGGGAGGGAGAGCGAGACAGGGAGTGTGATGGTGAGGGAGAGCGAGACAGGGAGTGTGTGGGTGAGGGAGGGAGAGCGAGACAGGGAGTGTGAGGGTGAGGGAGGGAGAGCGAGACAGGGAGTGTGATGGTGAGGGAGGGAGAGCGAGGTAGAGTGTGAGGGTGAGGGAGGGAGAGCGAGGCAGGGAGTGTGATGGTGAGGGAGGGATAGCAAGACAGGGAGTGTGATGGTGAGGGAGAGCGAGACAGGGAGTGTGATGGTGAGGGAGAGCGAGACAGGGAGTGTGATGGTGAGGGAGGGAGAGCGAGGCAGGAGTGTGATGGTGAGGGAGGGAGAGCGAAGTAGGGATGTGATGGTGAGGGAGAGCGAGGCAGGGAGTGTGATGGTGAGGGAGGGCGAGGTAGGGAGTGTGATGGTGAGGGAGGGAGAGCGAGACAGGGAGTGTGATGGTGAGGGAGGGAGAGCGAGGTAGGGAGTGTGATGGTGAGGGAGGGAGAGCGAGACGGAGTGTGAGGGTGAGGGAGAGCGAGACAGTGAGTGTGAGGGAGGGAGAGCGAGGCAGGGAGTGTGATGGTGAGGGAGGGATAGCGAGACAGGGAGTGTGATGGGTGAGGGAGAGCGAGACAGGGAGTGTGATGGGTGAGGAGAGCGAGACAGGGAGTGTGATGGTGAGGGAGGAGAGAGCGAGGCAGGGAGTGTGATGGTGAGGGAGGGAGAGCGAAGTAGGGAGTGTGATGGTGAGGGAG